AGGGAACACCAGCAGCAGGTAGCTCCTCCCCAGACCACACCCCCAGGACATCCCCACCAATGAGGGAACACCAGCAGCAGGTAGCTCCTCCCCAGACCACACCCCCAGGACATCCCCACCAATGAGAGAAGGCCACACATTCTCTTGTTTCATCTGTTCCAGTTATGCCAGCTATGTTCATAGCCGCTGTTGGTGGGCATTTGGGCCTCATCAGTGTGCGGTTTTGCTTGTCCGCCAAGTCACAGTGTAAAGGTCAGGTTCAGTCCCTCTGTCCGAGTGAAGCTTAAAACAATCACAACATTGAGCAAAGCTGCACCCTGTAAAAGCTGCAAGCTGCCACTGTAAAATAGGATAAATCATTCTGTTTCATGTATTTACACAAACCTCCATTATAGCTATAACTTTATGTTCTTTATTTTCCTACCAGAAATCTGATAATCCCAATTTTTTTTTAGTTCCAGAAACTCCATAACTGTAAATCAGCAGCCTCGGGGATTTTAATCCGTGTCATGTTAAATTTTATCTGGATGGATTTTTACCACAATATTTGTAAAGCTGAAATAAACTGCATACCATTAAAGGTCATGAACTTTTTAGCCTATTGTCTGTCCATCTTCCATTGTTTATCCAGTAAATGGTCATGATGTTTTAGTTTAACAGTGAAATGAAAAGTTTCTTTTCCTTAACAAAATATGAATATTACATCTTATGTATGTTTCTTTTAAAAATGGCGGAATTCAGACCACCTAATCAATGTCAGAGGGGACAATATGAGCTACGACAGGGTTTATAAACTACCTTTTCAACCATTTCAATTAAAAGGACCCAGATTTCACTTTGTCACTGAGTTCTTGCTGTGTGCTGATTGGTCAGTCTCCTATAATCATGCATGTGTCACTAATGTTAATGTGAAACAGCTGAATGAGTCTTTCAGTCAAGGAAACAAACCAGCCAAAGCACAAGAAGAACTGAACTATTCAGCTGAGCACAGGAACCTTTCAGTTTTAAAGCAGTTTGTAAAACCTGGAGAAGCTTATAGTGCCCCCCCCCCCCATCATGGATTGGATGGGCACCCTACCTCCAAGGGAAGGGTAACCAGACCTTTATTCCAGTTTGCTGTTTTCATTCAGTAACATTTCCTGACCTCCACGAGAGTCTCTCTGTGAGCTCTGCCATCAGTCTCTCAGCCTGTCGCCTCTCCCCTCCCTGTGTTTAAACTCCCCACAGGACACCATGGTCTCTCTGTGAGCTCTGCCATCAGTCTCTCAGCCTGTCGCCCCCCCCGTGTTTAAACTCCCCACAAGACACCATGGTCTCTCTGTCCTGGCCCCGTTTTCTTGTGCATCTCCTCTTGAGCCAGGAGGTGTTCAAACCTGATGCTGGGCACAGTCCCAACACGCAGCCCAGTGAGTCAGTTGGCGCTGAAATGACCCGCTGTACTGGGGGAGCGTGGGTTAATAACGAGCCAGTGGGAGAGTAGAGACAGTCTGATCAATGTGGGCCTCTGCTCTATGGCGCCACCTCTGTCCTGAGACTGCAGGGAAGTAACATGGCCAAGCTGCCGGAATGCGTCGCAGCCCTGCCCTGTTCTGATTGGCCCGCAGCTTATGCCTGGCAGCCCTGCGCTGTTCTGATTGGCCCGCAGCTTATGCCTGGCAGCCCTGCGCTGTTCTGATTGGCCCGCAACTTATGCCTCGCAGCCCTGCCCTGTTCTGATTGGCCCGCAGCTTATGCCTCGCAGCCCTGCCCTGTTCTGATTGGCCCGCAGCTTATGCCTGGCAGCCCTGNTCTGATTGGCCCGCAGCTTATGCCTGGCAGCCCTGTGCTGTTCTGATTGGCCTGCAGCTCATTGTATTTATCCTGCAGACAAGTGAACATGAAGCAACTTTCAGTGTTTACTTATTACCAAACTGATACTTATTGAAGGTCATGTGTTATAAGAGACATGCGAGGCTTGTATCTGGGGTATGATACGGAGGCAGTAGTGGGTAAAAACATTTACTGTAACAAGCCACAAAAGTAACTAGGCCAGTTAAAAATGCAGCAAAATCCGCTATTAACTGATGTGACATTTTATTTTTCACACTTTAATTTGACCGTAGTTTGAACACATATGTAACAGCAGACTAAATTCTTAGTAAAAAGATGTCATGTTTTTTTCAAATCGAAAATACTTGGTTACACAAAAAAACGGGTCAAATTGGTGTGTGAATCGTTTGTATTTCACAGAGCTTCCACAAAGCAGTCGTCCCCACAAACACAGCCCAGACTTGTACGGCAATGGCGTTTCAGCGAGAAAATGAGAAGCTTTTCCATGTTGCAATACTGTCCTCATGTTGGGACAACAGGAATGTACTTTAAAAGACGTTACCCCAGTACAATGTGTGCCAGGAGGCCCAAATGTCAAACATTAAAAAAAAAGAGAAAAAATACCGGCAATGTGCACAGGGTGGGAGGTGGTGGGGGGGGTGAGAGAGCGGCTCAGTGGCCCATAAGGAAAGACAGCATCTGTTTATCTGGGGCAGCCTGTGGTGGGGGGGGGATGCCTGGGCTGCAAACAACCAGCTTGTAGGACAGAAGGAATAAAATCCACAAAAGGAATTAATGCTGCAACCGAAAAAAAAGGTGGGGGGAAAGGGGGGTGTCGCTCCAGAGCCGACCATCTTCTGGCTAATGACCCAAACCACTTCTACTGTAGATCTGAACGGCCTGAAGCCCTCTGCCCCCTAGTGGTCACACCTCACCACTACTAGCATTAAATGCCATGTTGTGTAACTGTCCTCCAATCTGTGCTGTTTGTTTGTCACTGCATGCCGAGCCAAGATCCCTGACCGTAATGAAGTTAGTCACAAAGGAACAGCTGTTTTCATGCCACCAGGCCAATAGAGCTAATGAAGGTGTACTGGCTTGGATCCCTCCCCACCCCTCGCTAAAACGACAGCTACCTATCCAACTATTTTATTCTAATACTGCCGCAACCCCCATCAGTCCAGTGATGTCAGTCTGCACTTCTGTCACACGCTGCCAGCAGATGGCGATATTATATCATCTCAAAATACCCCAACTAAGCTGGAGGTTCCTCCTGCTAAGCTGCATCCTGTGAAAGTGATGATAGAGCGGCTGACTGCCTGTTTACGCAAAAAAACTAGTACCTATAGACAAGGCCGGACACATAGCCCAGGGCCCTAGTACCTACGGACAAGGCCGGACACATAGCCCAGGGCCCTAGTACCTACGGACAAGGCCGGACACATAGCCCAGGGCC